GCACGGCTGTCGGCTCTCGGGAGGAATCAAAAGGCAACAGGTGAACGGCACCTGAGACAGGCTCAATAAACTGTGACCACTACCCACGTTCAGAAAAGAACGGGCAGGAGGAAGCAGGGCGGGCTTCCTGGAAGAGGCAGAGCTGAGGTCAGAATAACTGGTGGACGGGATCAAGTGGGCAGCCGCAACAGAGGCCAGCACCAGTGGTGCAGGAAGCCACACAGCTGAACGGGAGGGTCAGCATCAGGTGGCTGGTGTCGGTGGCTGAAGGAGGGAACTGTGCAGGAGATGCCGATGGGGAGCTTGAATGGCACCTTGTAGTGCTCCCCCAGAGAGACAAAGGCCAGGCCGGGCTCACAAAGGCTCCATGCCTGCTTCTGGTCAGTGGGAGGGAGGACTGCAGGAGACGTGGTCCTGCCATGCTTGGTGAGAGTCTCTGGGCATAGCCAAAGCAGCAGATGGAGATCAGGGAGGTCCATGGGCTTCCCACAGGAGACTGAGCCCCATCAAGTGAAACTAAACATGGTAATTAAGACTATCCTCAACCCAACAGCATTTCTTTGATCAGTATTCATGAGAAAAACAAACTGTGCACAGGCAACATGCCCAATGACAGTCACAGAGGCGTTAATTATGTGTGAAGCCAAATGGAATGGAATAGTATACAGCTGTATAAAAAGGAGATGAGGAAAATAAGGCAGTTTCCCAACAAACTAAACAGAATTATCACACAATCCAGCAATCCCACTTCTGGGTACATACCCCAAAGTGTTGAAATCGGGGTCTTGAATCATGATCTGTATACCCATGTTCATGGCAGAATTACTCACAATGTCTAAAAAGGAAGATGCAACCCAAGTATTTTTTAACAGACAAAGGGATTTTTAAAAATGTGGCATATCCACACAATGGAATATTATTTGTCCTTAAAAAAGAATGAATTTTTGACCTACTACAGTGAGGGTGAATTTGAGGACATGATGCTAAGGGAAATAAGCCAGGCACCAAAAGACAGACACTACTGTTCCCACTGCGAGGAGGTGGCTGGAGCCATCAAGTTCATGGAGACAGAGGGCAGAATGGTGGTCCCCTGGAGTCAGGCGATGTTAATGTCTTAAGTCTGGGAAGACAAACAGTCCTAGGTAGAGAGAGATGGCAAGTGGAAGTACTAATGCCCGGAGCTGCAAGGGTCAAGTGACAGTCTGCCTCGTTCACCAATTGTGGCACAGGGACCCAAAGGACCTGATGGATCTCTCTGAGTGAACGTGAAGAGGTTAGAGAAGCACAGGTGCGTGTGCACCAGCCGGGGTTCACACGTGTGCACACGCACACACACACATGCACTCCCTGTGGAGTTAAGGGGCCTGGGAACAAGCACCTTCCTCTCAACAGTCACTGCCTGGGGGAAGGACCCCGCTGATGGACAGGGGTGGGGCAGGGGACCAGGATCCCAGAGGTCGGAGTGGCTCAGCCAGGAGCACAGGTAACTCTCCTGCCGTGGGGCCACCCGCCCCCTTTACCTGGTTGACCGTCACCCCTGGGTCTCCTGTTTCTGCCTCCTGCCTCTCCCTGGTGCAGAGGGAATGAGAGCACACCCCCTCCCGAGTCGCTAGGATTGTTGACAAGTGGAAACACACAAAGTCCCTTAATGGTGCCTGCACTCGTCCCTTAATACGTATTGGCTGTAATTGTGACAGTTGCGGTTACGATCAGCCTGGGTTCCGAGTAGACGAAGAGTAAAGAAGTCTGTTTGGGGAGACGGTGTCTGCCTGGCCCAGGGGCAGCAACGAGGGTCCGCCTGCCAGGTGACCGAGAGGCGGAGGACAGTCTAAACTGCCATCTGTGTCATAGACCTCTGTGCCAGGACAGCCATGTCTCCAGGCTGAGGTCCTCTCCAGCGCGCTGGCACTTCCTCACCCTGTAGGACCCCAACGGGGCTCAGTGTCCCCTTGCCTCAGCACCCTGCCCACTCCCCTCCGGTAAGGCCAGCGTGGTGGCCCCACTTGGCTGAGGGCACTCTGCAAAGCTGAAGGCCACACAGTGATGGGGACGGGTGGACCCAGGGGACTCCACGGCGGGTCACTGCCCTGACCAGCGGGCTCGGCTGGAACAGGCCTCCGCGGCTCCGCCTCGTTCCCAGCACGGGAACTGTCACCGTCCTACCTCCTTCCAGGGTCCCAAGGGCACGCCTGCGGAGTGAGTGCGGCCTGCGGAGCCCTGAGAAGAGCCTCACGGGGGTCCTCCTGGCGCAGAAGCCGAGCTGCTTGGCTCCAATGTCTGACCCCAGGTGCCAGTGCCGTCACCCTGCTCAGGTCACCTCACTCTGCCCCGCGTCACAGGCTGCTAGAAATGAGCCAGGCCCTGTGGGAGCCAGTCCTCCATAGATGACAGCCACCACCACGCTCCATGAGGAACCTGGGGACGCCAGCAGCACAGCCACCTAATGCTGCAGATGGGGAGGTCAGTGGCGTCAGGTGGCCTTCATCCCTCGACTATCCAGTGATACCGCTGTCCACACAGTGCACTGTGGGATGGGGCCAGGCCGGGCAGCCGTCAGCACCCAACCAGAGGAAGGTCCACCCGGGGCGTCACATTCCCCTCAGGCTTCAGGCTCCTCTTGGGAAAACACGAGCTCTGGCAGAACTGGGCCCGTCCCCCCGGTAGCAACTGGCCCCAAGTGGCCGCTCCCTCCATCCACACCTCCGCCCCCAGGAGATCGCCCTCACTCAAGATCCTCAGCTGCCTGCTGTGCCTCAGCCAGACCCTGGGCGGGCCACTTACCTGTCCTTTCCTGCCATCGCTGCAAGGGTGACAAGATACGCAGAAACGAATCACAGTGCCCTGGGCCCAGGAAGCTTGGAGCCCAGCTGGGAAACCCTCAGAGGACACAGCTGAGGAGGGTCTTCAAGCAGGAGGAGGGGGAGGGAGGAGGGGGAACCTCCCGAAGGTGCGACCATTGAGCCCTGAAGGGTGCGTGGACTGAGAGACCGCCACGGAGGAGGGAGGGCGGGACAAAGGCGCCCAGGACAAGGGCCACGGCCAGGGCAGGGTGCACACGTCCAGTCGGCAGCTGGATGCAGACAACCTGGGGCGGAGGTCAGAATCCAGCCCCAGGTGGGAAAGTTCAAATCCACTCACTCAGGCAGGATGCATCGGGTTCAGGGCGAGAGGCACCAGGGGAGGCAAGTTCAGGGGCAGCTCCAGTGACAGGTTCAGCCCCGGATCACAGGGGAATCTTTAAAACCCAGGCTGTGTGCCCAGGTCAGCCAGGGATGATGGGGGGCTCCTCCTCACTCCCTGGAGGGAGGGCGCCTCCCAGCCCAGGCTCCCTGCAGGGCGAGCTGCATGTTCTAGAGCCTCCTGAACCCAGTTTGCTGTAACTCCAGGCACTGAAGAAACAGCTGGCCACTGCTGGACCGTGAGAAAGACACCCCAGCCCAGCCAACCAGAATGAATACCTCTGGGCCTTCCACAGTCCGCTGGGCAAACAGAAGGTTCTTTCCAGTGACCAATGTGTTTCTAGTCTGAAACCATAAAGCAAAGGCACATGTGCTTCAATATCTAAGGTGCCGTGACCCTGGGCCACCCCATGCCCATTGGCAGGAAGGTCAGCCATCTCCCAAGGCACCCCTGCTATTTTGTGGGCTGTGGTGAATACACAGAACATCCAATTTACATCTCAGCCAATTTCAAGCGTACCGTTCAGCCGTGTTAAGTAATCCATATTACTGTGCAATCCTCCTCTGGCCATCTTCTCATCTTAAAATCCCAAAGTACCCATCAACCGCAGCTCGCCATTCCCCCTCCTACCAGTCCCTGACATCCACCAGTTCACTTTCTGTCTTTATAAATTTGGCCCCAAATAAATGGACTCATGTGACCTTTGCCCTTCCTGGCTGGCTTATTTCACTTAACACAGCATCCTCAAGTCCATGGTGCAGCACACGTCAGAATTTCCTTCTTATTTAAGGTTGAATAATATTCTACTATATGTAGGTACTACATTTTGCTCATTCACCCAGCCAGAGACGCTTGGTTTGCTCACTTAAACCCATCGGCTACTTTTGGTTTGCTAGGAAGGTGGGTGTATGTATCTCTTTGAACTCTGCTTTCAATTCCTTTTAAATTTCTTTCCTCCAGGATTGAGAATGAAATCCAGGGACCTATGCATTAAGCTACATCCCCAGCCGCTTTTAAAATTTTGCCTTATTTTGAGACAAGGTTGCACAAAGTTGCCCAGGCTGGCCTAGAACTTGCCTGCCTGAGTCACTGGGATGATGAGCATGCGCCTTCAGACCCTGCTCCTTAAGAGACTGGGTCTTGCCCTGTGGCCCAGGCTGGCCCAGAACTGCTGGCCTCCTGCCTCAGCCTCCTGAGGAGCTGCAACTACAAGGCATGCTCTAGAGCAGGCGTGGAATCCCCGGATCCCCTGTTAATTCCGTGTTTGTTTTTTTGAGGCGCGGCACCCACGGGGCACCAGGCTCCAGTTTCTCCACGCCTCACCAGCCCTTGCGATCCTAGGTCTGTTTATTCCTCTGGTAGCCGTCCTACTGGGGATGAAGTGGCATCTCATTTTGGCTTTGATCAGCAATTTCCTAGTGATCAGGGGGTTGGAGCATGGGTTTTGTTTGGTTTTGTTTTTTATGTGCCTGTTGGCTGTTTGCCTATCTTCTTTAGAGAAGTAACTACTCGTGTTCTTTGCTTATTTTTAACCAGGTCTTGGTGCAAGTCGGTCTTTAAGGAGTCTGACTTGTTCAGTGGATGGTTTCAAACATTCTCCTCTCTCCATTCTGAAGGACCAGCCCACCCAGGTGGGTTTTTACACGGACCCTTCCATCTTACCTGTCCCCAGTGCTGCTCTTCCCGGCAGCCCCATCCTGGGCTCAGCCCTGCTCACCGCACACCCCTCTTCCCAGGACCAAACACGCGTGTCAGTTCCTCTGAGAAGATCTTGCTTCTACCCTCCACGGCTCCCACTGACAGTCACAAATCATCCAAAGTTGACAAATTTCCCAAAGTCTGAGTAATTCAGGCTTGGGTTTATTCAAGGGCAACCTATTATACATACAATCTTGAAATCCTGTGTTGTGCTGGGCAGGGTAGGAGGGTGATCTTTTTGTCAACCATTTGAAAAGTGTTGGAGTCTTGTGCTGAATTTTGCAGGAAATTGTAGCATGAAGGGTGTTCCGGGACAAGAAGGAGAAGCCGTTTATCATGTTGGGCCCATGCAGGGCGGCTCAGTGACATTTATTTTTCAGAAAGTCCATAACCTGCAAAAGTTAAGTAAATAAGAACCCCCAAATGCAGAGTAAATCACTTAAAAAAGGCATTATTGGATTCTTCCATTCACAGTGAAGTATCTTGAGAATTATGATAGAGAAATGCTTCATAAACTTAACAAGAGGGGGGAAAATTGCTTACCAGAAATCTCTGCTATATTTCATATTAATTCTGCTCTAACTATGATGAAGAGTTGAGGAATAATGAGGTGTGATAATCACATTATTTACATCCGACCTCTCTGTCAACATAGCATTTATGGATCTTAGGAGGTTTTTCAACTTAAATTTTTTCACAAATTATTATTATTCTCATCAGAGTCTTGCTAAGGGGGAATAGGCACAGCTGCTGATGTGCAAGATGATTTCAGGTGACGCACCATGAAGCTGTCATCCTGTCATGACATTAGGGCATCTGTAGGCATTTATAGTTTGGCTAAGTTTTGCTTATGCCAAGTGATATTGGCTTTTCATTTACCAGAGTCATCGAAAGTTTTTTTTTGAAGGAAATATATTTGACCAAACAAGTAAGTTGGTTTTAAGAAAGCATCGTAAACGGATAAGACAAACCTATCAACAGGAGACAGAAAACCACCATCTTCAAAATACATTTCTTAAAAGGAAATTTCCTGAAACCTGATAGAAAACTTCTTGGGTATTGTTTGCTTCTAATTTCATTCTTCAAAAAAAAAATCCTATCATTCCCAGCACCCAGTCGTGGCAGGATCTAATATATATTGGTTGGATAATTGAGTGAACAATCAATACAAGAGACTTGCCATAAAACCCATAACATCATCTCTGATTAATTCAGTTCATAGGAACTATAACAAAAACATCTACAAAACATCATTGAATATTTATGACATGCCAAGCACTTAGTCAAATGTCATACATACATCATTTCATTAAATCTCTACAATAGCTTTATGCAGTATTTATTCTCTTCTTACAGAGAGATATTAAATCAATTGTCCAAATATATCAAGTATGGTCTAAATTCTAAGAATGTTTATGGCTTATTTAACAAGAATTTTGGAGCTGGACAGTTCATTCAGAGGCTACCAGGGTTAGGCATCTCTGCAATTCTCCTGATCTACCTCTTGGTTACAAGATGGCTGCCATAACCCTACACACATCACATCCTCACATGGGAGCCTCCAGCAGGGAGCTACCAGAGTTGACGCCAGCCAATTTCCACTCCCAGGCAGAAATCTCTTTCCCGAGAGCCCCCAACACATTTCCCCTTACACCTCACTGGCCAGGCTGCATCACATGGCAGCCCCTAGCTGTAAGAAAAGCTGGGGGAGCCGGTAACCACCAAGAGGGTACAGGCACATCTGGTGCGGGCCTGTCACAGTTTGTCCCCAAGGCTGGTGAAAGACTGGGTTCTTTGAATGGTGAGGTTTTTCAGAAGACAACAAGAACGGAGAGAGGAAGTTACCTGCAGAAGAGGAAGAGGAAGTAAAGGAGATCCCAGGACCGAGAGTGGCCAAGGTCAGGAGGCTGAGTCAGTGGAGGCTTGGGAGTCTCCGAGGTGAGCTTCTCATCTGGGCGTTCTCCATAATAGAGCATGTTATAGTCAGGTTTGTGGCTACTGTGACTAAAGGACCCGACCAGAACAATTGTACACGAGGAGAAGTCTATTTGAAGGCTCAGGCTTTCCGAGGTCTCAGTCCATAGGAGGCCAGCTCCATTCCTCAGGGCTCGAGGTGAGGCAGGACATCATGGCGGAAGCAGCTCACATGATGATCAGAAAAGCAGAGAGACACGCCACTCTCCAGATACAGAATATACACCCCCAAATGACCCACCTCCTCCGGCCACACCCCACCTGGCTCCAGTCATCACCCAGTTAATCCCATCAGGGATTCGGTCGCTGATGAGGTTAAGGCTCTAGCCCAACCATTCCTCCTCCAAACCTTCCTGCAGGCTGGGGACACAGCTCAGTTGGCAGAGTGCTCGCCTCGCAGGCACAAGGCCCTGGGTTTAATCCCCAGCACCACACACACACACACAAAAAAAAAACTTCTCGCATTGTGTCACACGTGAGCTTTTGGGGGACATCTCTCATCCAAACTCATAACAGAGCGGGATCATTCTGTGCTCTGTTGGGATGGTCCTGTGTGAAAGAACGATCAAGGCTCGTTGTCAGAGAAAATGTCCTTTTATTGAGGAACAGCTCTGCATATTTATAGAGGGGGGGGGGGGCGTCTGACAGTTATGACAGTTTAATGGTTGAACGGTTTGACAGTTGGCATGGGGTGCTTTCTGATTGGGTGGGTAAGGATCTTGTGAGCCAGCAGGGCTAGTCGGATTGGTGGGTAAGGATCATGTGAGCCAGCAGGGCTAGTCTGATTGGTGGGTAAGGATCATGTGAGCCAGCAGGGCTCACCATTGGACGGCTCTTCTGGGGGGGGAATGGGGAAGTTAGTCTTTGGAACCGGGGCGACTCCCAACACTGTGCACTCTGGGGTGCCCAGCAATCTCCCTGGAGTCTGCCCACTGCATGCCAGCAGCACCTCCATCCAGTGTGACACCTTGGGGACATTATTCAGTCTACCACAGGAACCTACAAACCGTTGACATAATTATAAGCAAAGTCAACCGCTTCCGAGGGCGATGCTAGAAAAGTGGACAACAAGTGGAGAGGGGCCCCGGGGTGTCTGGCTGGCAGCGGAGCCTCAGGAAGAGGACCAACTCCAAGGAATGTCACGCATCTTGACTGACGTCACTCTGAGGACTGGCGGGTGGCAAGTCAATCCTAACCTGCTTCCGTGGGGTTGAGGTCGCTGTTCTGCCACCACCATGTCTAACAGGATGAGGACACCAAGTGGTCTTGCTGTTGAGCAGTGCGATGGGCCCAGGAAGGGAGACAGGGAGCCGGCGCGGCCCAGGACCTTCTGAATCTGAAGCGTGGAATCGCGATGTGCCGTGGACATTTTAAAACACGTATTTCCTAACTACGTTCCCTGGAAAGACCTGGGACAATGACAGCCCAGTAAACAGAGCACCTGGGGCGTGGACTGTGGCCTCCAGACGCCCCTGCAGGAGCCACTGGACCTCGGTTTGCGGTGGTGAGAGATGAAGGGAGGGGTGTGACTGCGGGGCTTGGTGACGGGCAGGGAGGCAGAGTCCCACCACACGCAGCTAGATTTTTTCCTAAGGTCACTGAGAAGCCACTGAAAGATCTGAAGCAAGCAGCCGGGTTTGCAAAAACGTCCCCTGGAGCCACAGGAGGAAAAGGGCTGGGAAGGGTGAGGGCAGGGAGCCAGTCTTCAGGCTGCCCCTTCCCAGGAGACCAGGCTGGCCTGCACCAGGGGAGGGCGGGGGGGGGGGGGGTGCGGTGGGGCCGGGGGGGGGGGGGGGGGGGGGCTGGATTCCAGGTGGCTGAGAGAGAGAAGCAAGGTGACTGGTGGGGGCGCTGGCTGTGGGGCTCGGGGAGCAGGGCGGCCACACAGCAGGACTCCTGGGACTTCAGCTGACAACGGGGTGAGGCAGAAGCAGGGCCTGGGACAGCAGTGGGCAGACCTGGGCCCTTTCCCAGCTCTGAGCAGAGTTGTTGAATAGGGAGTTGGATACACAGGTCTAAAAATCAAGAGAACCGATGCCTGACATGCAAGTTAGGGTTCATCCAAGCATAGATGGCATTTTTAAGCCCTGGATGGATGAAATCACTTAAGGGTGAGAGTTAATAGAGGAGAGAACAGCTCTGGTTTGGTCCAGAATTCAGAAGAGGAGCCAGCAAACAAGGCTCAGGAGGGGCCGTCAGCGAGCAGGCGGGGAGCAGGTGTACCCCAGCCCTGGGACAGGGAGGGCGCATGTCGAGGACATGATGGGCTGTGTCCCACGCTGCTGGGAGTTTGAGCCACTGGATAGGTGAGAATGGACCTTGGGTTGACAGGGTGGGCACTGGCTTCGGTTCTCTGGAGTAGATTTGATGGAGTGGTTCAAAGTCGACGGGAAGGGACCAGAAACAGGTAGGTTCAACTGTCCAGAGAAGCATAGAGCCAGATGCTGGCTGCAGGGGCAAGAATGGAGGCAAAGGGTGTCCTTTTAGTGTTGAAGCAAAAAGAGACCATAGAGGAGACAGAGGACCAAGAGAGAGAAGGTCCTCCAGGAGGGGGTGGGGCTGGGGGTGTGGACCTCGGTGGAGTGGGGGAGAGAGGGTCACATGAAGAGGGGAGTCCACAGAGAGGTGGGGCCTGCACAGAGGTGGGGTCCTCAGAAAGGTGGGTCCTCAGAGAGGTGGGGTCCTCGGAGAGGTGGGTCCTCAGAGAGGTGGGGTCCTCGGAGAGGTGGGGTCCTTGGAGAGGGGGGACCATGGAGAAGGGTAGTCCATACAGAGGTAGAGTCTATGGGGAGGTGGGATTATTGGGGGGGGTCTATGGGCATCAAGGCCAGGTGTTAGCTAAGAGTGAGGGACAAGGAGCAGAGACAAGAAAATGCACACCCGTGATCCCTGAGTTGAAGGGGAGTGAACGGAAGTGGAGAGGGACATCTGGGGATGCCGAGGGTCCACTTGAGATTTGCAGGCATAAACTTAAGAGCCCCCATGGTGTGGTTCCCTAGCTACTGCCCAGTTGGGCACAGCATGGACGGCTGCACTGTCAGGGTCTGGGGTCTTCTAGAAGAAGACAGGAGGGAGGGGGCCGGAGCGCATGTGCAGAGGCGTGGCTGGAACCAAGGCACTGGTGGCGCTGCTGCCTGCCCCGCAGCCCGCCACCCCCCTTACCAACCTCCGACACACACGGCAGCAGCTGGCCCTGTCATTCCCCGTGGGCCATGACGGATTCCTCCGGCCTGGCTCTGGTCCTGGTTCGGACTGTGTCCCCTATAAAGATATGCTCCAGCCCCTATGAATGTGGCAGAATTTGGAAATCGGGTCTTTACAGAGGCAACCAAGTTAAGATAAGGTCAGAGGTGGCTCCTGGCTCTGGTGCCTTTGTGAGAAAAGAGAGGGGTTTGGACACAGGGACATGGGCACAGAAGGAAGGCCAGGGGAAGATGACGCCAGACTGCAGCCAGGCTGCCACCAGCCAAAGAACACGGGAAGCCACCGGGAGTTAGGAACGGCAAGAAGCTCTCTTCCCGGGGGAGTCTGGGGGGAGGATGTCCCCGTGCACACCTTGACTCCGAACTCCAAGCCCCAGAACTACGAGAGAAATCACTTTTGTAGTTTCACTCCACCAGTTGGTGGCAATTTTTCACCACAGCCATCAGAAACAAATCCTCCTACTAATAAATATTGCCTTTTACTGCACATAATAAATCAGCAAAGAAAGAAAGGATTTTTTTCTGAATATCATCTATTCTACAGCCAAACCAAAAAAAAAGTCATCTCTCTAAATATGTTGCTTAATGCTTACTGTGGTCTGGGTGTATCGCTTCATACTGGAGCTTTAATTTTCAAAATCATTAAATAAGAAAATTAGTGACCGGGAAGCGCTATGTCACTTGGCCTGTTCAGAGGCGGTCTTTGAAATCACGCAGTTACTGAAGTTCATCTCCCCTCCCCCACCGGAGTGTGGCCTTCCTGTGGCAGGGACTGGGAGTCTTGTTCAGCGTCTTCCCCAGGGCGCAGTGTCGTGCTCAGCGCACACACGGGCATCATCTACTCTGCAGAGCAGTGTTCAGGGGAAACAGTTCCCATGGCCCCTGAGACCCTCCGCTGGGACCCCAGCACGGGGACCATCAACCAGGCCTGTCACTTGTGCGTCCCAGGAAGTTTGCCCTTGTTCTTACTGGAGGCACCTCTGTTTGTCACCCTGTGTGAGGTGGTGTCCTGCATCTGGTAGCTGGCGTCAGGGCCGCTGCCAACCCTCCTGAATGCAGCAGAGGATCCTCCTGCCTCGGAACCCAGAGCATGGGGGGCGAGAGACCCACGCCAGACACAGGGGGAGACCGGGAGAAACGGCCCGCGTGGAAGTACAGCTTCTCGTGTCCCTAAAGGGCAAACTGAGGCACCAAAGAGGAAGCAACGTGTCCAGAGATAGGGCTCAAGGGAGTAGCAGACAAATACTCAGGTCTCAGCCCAGGCCAGAGCATGGCTGCTGACCACAGGCCGTCACCACAGGAAACCACCACAGGTGGCCCGCATGCCGCCCAGCAGAGAAAGAGGGCCAACCCCTGAGGACTCCTGGCTTGTCACCAAAGCAGAGACCACAGCAGGCGAAGGCGGCTGGCTGAGACGACTCTAACCCTGCGCCTGTCGCGATGCTCCACACTCCCCCTATGATGCCAGATCACAGCCACCAGCAGCGCCGTGCCCACAGCCAGCTGCACACCGGGCTAGTGGCCCAGGTGGCTGAAGAGATGCGCTTTCTGCAGCCAACTGCCCTGGCAACCCGGGCAACATTCTCTGCGGTCCTTGGATCAGGGCACAGGGCCCCTGCCCGGGGATCTCTTCCTGCTGTAGAATGGAACATGAGCCCTGAAGAGTAAAGGGGGGGTCTGCGCTTTTCCCACCCACTTCCTACAGCTTCTGGGGAGCACACGGACCCCTGCAGCCTGCTGTGCCCCTCCCTCCCTCCCTCCAGGAGAGGTGCTCCCTGTGGCTGCAGAGCAGGGAGGAGGGAGGGGGACCATCACTTGCAGCAGAGTCAGCTGGAGCCCAGGTCCTCCCACAGCCCCCAGCAAACACCAAGCCTCCTACAGCCTGGGACAGAAGAGAACTGCCCCCTGCTTCTGGGGTCTCAAGGATTCCATTGTTTTCCATGGAACCAATTTAAACAAATGGA